TGTTACGTCGTTGTTGTTGTTGTGTGTTGTATATATATATATATATATATATTATATATATTATATATATATATAAATATATATATGTATAAATATATATATTATATAAATACATATATATATATATATATATGTATATATATATATATGTATTTATATATTTATTAATAGGGCGACATCATTTAGAAGGCATATGTATGTATCTTTACACACATACACACATACTCACATACACACATGCACACACAATAGTGGTTCGATGTAGACTCGTGTACACCGCACCCGTCGTCCCGTATTACTTTAATGACTTTAAAGACCGGTATGAAATACGCTTCGTTAAGGGTAAGGGCAATGGTGTGTTTGCTAAAAATCCCATAGATGTGGGTATGCGCACGGCATACGTCGGGTACGTTGTGCATGGTACGAGTGTTCGTGGGACGTACTCGGTTCTCACATGCAACGAGAACGACGAGTGCACTGTCATCCTTAATGCAAATCCAGTGTCGGTGTGGGCTAAGCGGTACGTTAACGATGTATACATTGCCCACCTAATTAACTCGGCAGATTGCGCGCACGATATCAACACTAAGCTCGTTTCTTCGCGCGAGGCGGATGGAGCCATGGGTGATATTCTCTTCAAGTCGGTGTATGCGTGCACGAGTCGCAGAATCGAAGAGGGCGAACAACTGTTGGTCGATTAAAATCTGGTCCACACGAATGGGGCAAAGACTTTGTCGTATGTAAGGAATCCAATAGTCCCAGCACCACAAAAGACGCCGTACAGCGCCGTAGCACGAGCCAAGACATTGTTTGCGAACAACGCCGCGAGGTTAGCGAAGAAGGAGGCTCAACGTGAGCGTGCACGCAACATTAGAAAGAGGTAAAAGTTGTAACCGATTGTGAATAAAGGTACCGATTATCAAATGTCTTTGTGCGTCGTACCGTTTTTGCAGTTTTGTCGCTACGTATACGCGACTCTGTATTCATGTACGTATGTATACACTGTAGCGCGTGGATCGTTTAGTTTTCCCTATTGATAACCTGAAACGGCTAGCGTATATGTGTATGTATATATGTGTATCTCGGTACCGATTATCAAACGTAACGGTACGTCTCACCGTTTTTGCAGTTTTGTCGCTACGTATACGTGACTCTGTATTCATGTACGCATGTATACACTGCAGCACGTGGATCGTTTACTTTTCACGTGCTCATATATGTATGTATGTACAGTTGGTTTGTATGTATGCGTGTGTACAGTATATAGTATGTATATATGTTTTAGTATATACTGCAGTATATAGTATGTATATATGTGCGTGTTTGTGTATCTCGATACCGATTATCAAACGTAACGGTGCGTCACACATTTTTTTGCAGTTTTGTCGCTACGTATACGTGACTCTGTATTCGTGCACGCATGTATACACTGCAGCACGTGGATCGTTTACTCTGTGTGTATGTATTATATTTATAACGCTGCAGACTCGTGTGTACGTGCATTGGGTATTTTATTACCTAGAGCTCCAATAGTGGAGGCAGTGGTGTGTGTAACAACGGCAGTTCTTGTCCCACAGGCGCCAAACTCGTGTCAGCCTCTGGTTCTGGTGTTTCTTCAACTGGATCGGGTACTTTGTCCGACTCGCGCTGAACGCCTGACCGCGTTGTTCGTCTGCGCTTGGTCGCACTGGTTCTGGTATTGGTACTAGTACTGGTATTGGTACTGGATCTCGTGTTGTGTACGTGGACTTCGACGTCGTCGCTTTCGGATACAGGCTTGGGTGTGCCCCCACCACTTGCCAAAGGTTCAATGTAGGCCATGTGCATGTCGACGAGTGCATACCGCAACTTGACGATACTCGTTTCTGCCGCCGTGCAGAACGTCAGCATACTTACACCGTCAGTTTCAGCATCAATATCGTCTTCGTCAATCCACTCGCGCGCCGTGTACCTCAAGTACATGTTTGCACACAACTCGGTCGCTTCCACGTTAATCTCCAGCGCCGAGACGTCGTCCTCGTCATCCATGTTAACGTTGATCGCAACATACTGGCTGTCAAGTCTACAGGCGCTGTCTGAATTGGTGGGTACGTACTCGCACCGGATTGGCATTGACGGGTTGGCCAGGCGTTCCGTGTACATCTGGTGCGCCATCACCTTGATCCGGGTGCCCGTATACATGTTTCGGGGGTGTAGGATACACTGGTCCACAAACACATCCATAACGCTTAGGAGATTGGACTCGTCCACAGCAAACATGTCACCCAGCACGTCCCACACACAGCTGCGCAGAATAGGTCGGATCTGCTCATACGCCGCACACTCTACCAAAAACCCGTGCTTGAATCCAAACGATGTACCAAACGCCTGCGCCATTGTGTTGTTGAGCTCCTGGGTCAACACTTTGGACTGAGTGCACCGCATGCCGCTGCGCATAAGCTCGGCCGTCTTGACATCCGCCTTGATGCTGTTTAGGCTGTCGTCCAGATAGTTTGTAAACATGATCGTATTAATTAAATCGGTGCAGTTCTGGACCAGTGTATCCAAACTGGCCACCGTGGGCGACGAGGATGGTGTGTTTGCGCTGTACGCCAACACAAACATGTCGGTACGTGGCCACGGACTCTAGGAACTCGGCGTCCGTGCACGCGTTATCAAAAAGCGTGCAGTGGACGGCGCACTTGCGCGCATGCACTATAATGGCATTTGCAATGCGCCGCATGTTCTTAACCACCAGCGCGTTCGAGCCCGATTTTAGGGTTTAGGGTTTTAGGTATCTTTATTTGTTTACACGCTATTGCTATATACAATGCCTGATGTCCGGGGTGGACTTGTGGCTACCGGCAGGTGTTGGCAGTTCCCGTGACCCTGCTTTTCAGGGGAGGGCGAACTGGACTATCGAGGGGCTGAGTCTTTTGCTGTCTGTGGTTGTTGTACTTGTTGAGTTGGTTTCTTTGGCTGTAGTTGTCTAGTTGATGGTGGTGTAGGCGTTTGACAACCGTAACTGAATTAACACAGAGTCTGTGAATAAGCTGTGACAGATATGTATATCGTTTCATTGAATATGAGATATGATACAGTGGCTCACCAGTGTATCATACTCACTACCGCATCACCGGGTCGCGATGTGCGACTGTGCCTGCCGGTAGGCATTCAAGGAGGATGTGTTCGGGGCGGTGGGCGTTTCATAGCGAGGTGTTCGTTGATATATGTGCTATTCAACTTCAAGTCAATGCATATTTGTCGCAGGCATATTCGCCAGCGTCTGATCAAGTCAGGCGGAGTCACGCTACTACATATGTAAGATAGTGTAATGTCTGTTGGGATGTCATTGTCGAAATCCTGGTCAATGTCAAACAGGGGGTGTATGTGGTGGTTTGGGAGTTTGCGTGTCCAGTGCTGGGGTGCCGCTACATAGGCGCTAGCCTCTGGGTGTATTGTGTTGAAATCCATTTGCAGTGTTCTGTGGGCTTGTTCGAAGCGACATCTGCGCTCTAACGAAGGCCAGATATAATCGTTTTGTGGGTGTTCCGAGTCTATGAGGAGGGTGTGTACTATTGTGGTCATGAATCGTGGCACTGGGAACACACAGTTCATCAGTACTTGGGGTGGTATGGGTCCTTTGTGCAAGTACACCAATTGGTCGTGTAGTGTGAGCATGTCGGTGTAGCGCTTACGGGTGCTTAGGGCGTCAAGTAGGTTGCTATCAACTACAATCTCTTTCTGTGGCGAGATGAGTTTGGACATGTAGGGGAGCACGAGGGGACATTTGAAGTGTGATGTGGTGAAAGGTGTTTTGCTGCAGCCAATGCATGTGAGACCTGCCGGGGTCTTTTCTAGCGTGAACATATACCTGTTCGTGACGTACAGTGCGACTATCGTGGGGACTCTGAATAGGAGACTGCTGAAGCTGTGATGTTCGAGTGGCGTGTCGATTCGGTACCGCTCTTCCTCGCCTGGGTAGATGAGTCCAAATCGGAGTTCGCGAGCCGCTTGTCGATGCAGTGCGCTTTCCCTTTTGTTTGGTTTTCTGTTTGTGTATGCTTGTTTGAGTTTCCTGTATGTTATGAACGGAGGGTAGTGGAGTATGTTCTCGCGAGCGAGCATAGTGAGTCTCATAGGGGTAAATATGGTTGCCTGTTTGCCCAGATATTCCTGTAAAGGATTTCTGTCTGACATACGAGTTATGTGATTTATAAGACTCACGCATTGCCAAGTGCATAGTGCTCGTGCGTTGAGGAGTCCACAGAACTGAATTTGTTTCAGCATAGTCGGTGTGGCTTTTGTTGGAGTCTTTTTGTGTGCCGCAGTGGATGTGATATATCCAGAGGCTTTATGAATTACGACATCAAGTTTGTCGAGTTGCGCATTGATGCTTGTTTTGAGTGAAGAGTGTGATAGTGGAATAAAGGCAAGACCGTAGGTGATTTTCGAAAGTATAAATACTCGAAAGATCATAAGTTTGTTGTGTGGGTGTAGGTGGGTGCCGGCTCGAAAGCCAAGCGGGCCACTATGGCTGATCGAATCGCTTAGTGTATTTATACGCGTTTCTAGCATTTGTACCACGTCTATACCCTTGGGTCCCATAGGGAACCCCAAGTATCTAGCAGGTTTTAGGGTTTTGGGTTTTAGGGTTTAGGGTTTAGGGTTTAGGTATCTTTATTTGTTTACACGCTATTGATATATACAATATTACAATGCCTTGTGTCCGAAGACCTGTGGCGGCCGGCAGGTGTCGCAGTTTGTGCCTTAATCCCTGTTTCTCAGGTAGAGGCTAACTGAATTATCTTATGGCTGAGTTGTTGCGCTGCGTTTAGTTTGCTATGTTGCTTGGTTTCTTTGGGTATGTAGTTCTATGGGTTGTTTTAGTAGTAGTTTGTAAACCCTAACTGGTTGGAAACAAGTGCTGAAAATATACTGTGACCGATTTGCATTTCGTATTACTGAATACGAGAGAGAGACC